CTTCTAAATTATAGTTTAAATTTAAGAAAACATATATACAAATGTATCTTATATATAAAATTAACATTGTCAAAATGTTAGTTACCGTACTCCTCCGAAACGGCTTTACCGATTTTTACCAAATTTTATATGCGTATTCAGTAGGTTTGAGAATCGGCTACTATCTATTTTTCATACCGCTAAAGTGATTAGGGTGTCCCTATCCAGCAAAAATATCTTTATTGCTTTAACAAAAATTTTTTTATTTTTTTGACATAAATTTTTTTATATTTTTGAAAAAGAAAACTTGCTATGATATGAAAAGTTGTTGTCTATGAAAATACTGAATTCATAAAACTGCCCCCTAATTTCTGCACTATCGTTAATTCCCAAAATGCTCTCATTGACCGCGTATTTCCAGATGTACACATACAATACAATAGTACAATAATACGCGATTGGTAATTAAAAAATTGATGAAAAACATTATCGAAGCCACCATTTTGAATGGCAAGTTCCGAAACGAAAAAGTTTTATTGCCACGAATTCCAATGATTCTCACAGACATGCCAATTTAATTCAAACGCGTTCAATTTCCTATTAGATTGGCATTTGCAAAGACCATCAATAAGTCGCAAGGCCAAACGATGTCTGTTTGCGGTCTTATAAATAAAATTTCCATGTCACAATGTTAGTTACCGTACTCCTCCGAAACGGCTTTACCGATTTTTACCAAATTTTATATGCGTATTCAGTAGGTCTGAGAATCGGCTACTATCTATTTTTCATACCGCTAAAGTGATTAGGGAGTCCCTACCCAGTAAAAATATCCTTAGTGCTTAACAAAAAATTTTTTATTTTTTTGACATAAATTTTGTTTATATTTTTGAAAAAGAAAAATTTTTTCTTAATATTTTATGTAACTACGCCAACAAGTACATCGAGCATTTACATCGACTTCGTTCTTCGTCTTCGGCTTGCATGGCAGATGGAAAATGTACTAAAAATTTTTCTAAAGATTTCACTAATGATACTATAACAAATACCGACGGATATCCAATATATCGTCGAAGAAATCCCGATAATGGGGGACAATGGCGGGTGGTAACGTATTCGCCTCTGCTAAGCAAGACATACAATGCTTATATTAATGTTGAGTTTTGCAGTTCTGTGAAGAGCATCAAATATATAAGTATGTCCATAAAGGCGGTGGTATGGCTGTGTTTAGAGTAGAAAATACTAATGTAAATGCTCCTCCAATGAACAAAAACGGTGAAATTACGCTCTACCAAATTGGTCGGTACATCACCTCCAATGAAGCTGCTTGGCGTATCTTCGGCTTTCTAATTCATGAACGGGATCCAGCAGCTGTTCAGGTAGCCGTCCATCTTGAAAATGGTCAGCGTGTATTTTTCACGAACGAGACAGTGATTGATCGTGGTACAAATCCACCTAAATCTGCACTCACTGCATTTTTTGAATTGTTTAATAGTACGGATGATTTTGGTGCCTTTGCAAAAACATTACTCTATTCACAAGTACCACGCTATTTCACATGGCCTTAAACAAAAAAATGGATGCCCCGCAAGCAAGTTTCACCAGTTGATGCATGTCTCAATTTATTTAAATCAAACGCTTATTTATAGTTAATCCAAGACACACTGAGTACTTTTATCTTCGACTGTTGTTGGTTAATGTTACTGGCCCATTATCATTATTATTATTTACAGTCAATCCAAGACAATTTAAATTTGAAGATACAACAGTTGTTGCCAGGGAACTTGGTATCATAAAATCTATTGATTTTAAATTAATAATTTAATAAATAAACTATAATAACTTAAAAATAATATTGTTTGGCGTTTGTTATTTTTATTATCCTTTTCGTTCATAGCGCTCCATGCCTATTTCATGCATATACCACATACTTACACACTTATAATAAGTAAGTTACTTTTTGTCTACACTAGAATTTATCTAGAAACTAGAAATAATTTATAAGGCAAAACAGCGTTTGTCGGGTTATCTAGTATATATATATATAACAGGGAAAAATCAAACAACTTACAAAACTAAATATACATATTACTAATTATAAATACTAATTATAATTAATTAATTATAATAAATAAATCAATAATTTGCATGCCCGATGCTGTTGAACGGCCACTTATATTTCGCCTGTAGGATCAAATTTTCAATATGTATTATTTTTTGAATTCAGTAAAAATAAAACTGTAAACAACTTGATTGAATTAAAATTGATTGAATTAAAAATATGTAATTTACATGACGACCTTGATTTTTTAACAATATTGACCATGAAATTACGAGACTTTATTTACATCCATAATCTCTTGATGTAAACAAAGTCCCGCAAACAGAGTGACAAAAAAATTCCTTCCCTCTCTTGTCCTGTTTACAGTTACAACATGCGTACGGTTGTAGTCATAGACGAAAAAACCAAAACCAAACATGATTTGAAGCGCACAGGGTCATCCATTAAATAAGATGGATTTTATTAATAATATATTATTATTATTTCTTTTATATGTTTATTGTGTTTTTAAATAATTATTGAATACATAATATTTTAATGTATGTTTTATATGTTTATTGTGTTTTTATATTATTTATTTGTGTAATGTTTTTATACCTTATTTATGTAAATACATATGTATGTAAAACAAAAGTTGTATTTGTTATATTTACTTTATTTGTAAAACCGCTAATGTAGAATATTAGCACGTTAAATAATAACTGAAATCAAAAGTAATGATGTGTGCAAAGTAATGATGTGTCATCTAAGTATTATTAAATAAACTAATATCGGTAGAAATTAATTGAAGACTGAACAATATTATTTACATATGTAATTTATACCCATCATCAGTATTCAATATTTTTTATTAGTCAAACATACATGCATATATCCTTCAAACTGAAACTGAAGCTGAATTTTTTAACAAATTTCATTTCATCATTATTGCAATTATTAACAAAATTTGAAGTTAATAGGGTCATCTATTAAAGAATATGGATTTTGACTAAAAAATTTATTAAATAAAATATATATACATATGTATGTATTTTACATGACGACTTTGATTTTTTTAACAATATTGACCATGAAATTACGGGACTTTATTTACATCAATAATCTTGTGATTTAAACAAAGTCCCGCAAGCAGAGTGACAAAAAAATTTAACAAAACAAATTTCTAATTGTTGTTCGCATTGCAGTGAAATTTAATAAAAATAACTGCATAACACAAAAAATGCGTGTGCAATATTTTCCTTAAATTTGTTTATACACGCCAACAAAAGAAATAGTTACTACAAATTTAACAAATTTTTGCTAGTAACAAAAAAATAATCAATACTAAATTGTTCTTATATTCTTCATTTTATTTATTCTACTCTAAATGATTTTGTATGAAAGAGTATGTGAGGCAATATTTCTGAAAATGATGCATGGCTTTGTTTTTGTATATTTTTCCTAAAATATTTCCTAAAATATTTTTCCTGAAATATTCATATATACTTATGGTATGTACATACATATATGAATCACAAAAAATCACGTTTGACTGATTTGTTTAGAAAAATGAATAAGGATAATAATGGTTTAATACCACGTGCCGAATTCATATATGGAATAATAAGTACGATTATTTATATAATGTAGAATAACTAAATAATGTAGAATACCTATTATTTATTTTTTAAAGAATTTGACACTTCTCGAATGGAAATGGGTGCAGTGGCAGATCTTTTTGATCGTAATGGTGGAGACCCGATTGGCAAGAACGCAAACCAGCAACTGATTCAGATAAAATACATGATGAAGTTAAACGCCTTGTTATCCTTTGCACATGTCGACAAAAATTTCGCGTATTTCAAGTTGGCAAAGGGAAATATAGGGTTCGTAAAATACTAATTATCGGATCTTAAAGCTTAATACTCCATCTTCTATTTAAAACAATATTATTTTTGTATAAAACAGTTTGGCGACTCGACTCTCAAAAATTACGAATATTGCGAATATTGCGTAGCACAGTTATGGTTCGTGTAGGTGGCGGCTGGCTTGCACTTGATGAGTTCTTATAAAAAAATTTTCCTTGTCGCGGTAAGTAAATAGTTAAGAATTTTGTACTTTCTCATATTGAATAAACATAATTAAAATATTCATATGCTTATAATTAAAACATTTCTTTAGCGTAATATAACATTATTATTACATTTACATAACAAGCATAACATGCTTTCATAGTAAAATTGTACATTGTTCATTTCATAAATCATTTTAGCTGGTTTTAATGACTCGAGTGTTTTATTACAACTCTGCTCTACATAATCTATTTAATCATCCATACGTCAGTGAAAATACATATATATATATATATATATATATATATATATATATATATATATATATAGAAAGATGTGTTTTTGTTACACCACTTATAACTCAAGAACGGCTGAACCGATTTAGCTGAAAATTGGCAGGGAGGTAGTTTAAGGCCAGGAGAAGGATATAGGCTGAACCGATTTAGCTGAAAATTGGCAGGGAGGTAGTTTAAGGCCAGGAGAAGGACATAGGATACCTGTTTATCCCGTTCACGACAAAGTAGGTTTTGAAATGATCAAATTTTTGATATAAGAAAATATTTTATTAAAATTTAACAGATAGAAATATAACTTAGTTAGAACTATTTATTTCTTTGGGAAGATTGAGTTCTTTGGAAGTTCATATATATATTGTAATACTTTAATTTGAAAGAATAATACATAAATTAATACTTAATGTTGTACTAATTACTGTTATAATAATTAGTAAAAATATTTACTTTGTATTTATTGCACTTATTATTAATGCAATAATAAATATAAGTAAGAACAATATCACACGCATAAGCTATAAATATAAGTACTTTTAATGCTTATATATTTAATCAGTAAGCAGAAGATAACTCCTACTCCTACTCATGTTTGTATTCCTTGCATTCAATTTCCATAAATTACAATGATTCTTCACTTTCATATGAAATAAAATGTTCTTCAGATTCCTGTTCTTCATTTAATTCATTGATTAATTCCAAAATTTTCATTTTTAAGAATCTTTTGCGTTTTGCATTTAGAGGCGATATGTCTGGCAAGATACCCATGAAAAAGCTTTGAAAACCATTATCGTCAATTATACGTGGCATGTTCACGGGTCGGAAGACCATCTGCGTTGTTTGTTTTTGCGCCTGATAATAAATCAAAAAATGTCGTGTATCACAAGGTACTTAAATGAAGAGCAACCTACATTGTGACCGAAAAGTTTCCGGTCATAAATAAATAAAACGCAAAATTCTTAATCTTCATCAATATTTATTTTATCTCCTTCAAAATTGCTCCATTAAAGCGATAACAATGGCAACGTTCTTCCAATCATCAAAACATTTTTTATAGGCGCTTTCCGGTATGGCTTTGAGTTCCCTCTGCGAATTCTGTTTTACGTCTTCTATGGATTCAAAACGCGTTCCTCTGAGTGGTAATTTGAGGTTGGGAAACAGGAAAAAGTCACACGGTGCAAGATCAGGTGAATACGGTGGCTGTTCGATGGTATTTATTGAATGTTTGGCCTTAAAATCGTTGATAATGTTGAACAAATTGAGGTGAATCGGAACAAGCCGGGCGTTGACACGTCGCATACACAAATTGTCCACCAAAATCAAACGAGCCATCTCACGACCGATGCCTAGCTCTCGTGCTATCTCTCTAACACTCACATGAGGATTTTTGAACACGATTTCCTTTGCCTTTTCAATGTTTTCGTCGGTGGTAGAGGTCGAAGGTCGTCCAGAACGCGGCATGTCTTCGACGGTCGTACGACAGTCCTGAAAGGCTTTGTACCACTCATAAACTTGAGTTTTCGATAAAACTGATTCCCCATAAGCCTTTTGTAGCATTCGCAACGATTCTGCACACGAAATTTCGTTCGAAAAACAAAATTTGATGCAAACTCTTTGTTCAATATTTTTTTCCATTGTTTTTTTCGCAACGCACTACTGAGGTGAACTGGTTTCAACAGCTGCCGTAAACGAACTGTCCGACAGATCGCGCTATTTTTGCATAGTAATTAAGGGACAGTGTGCCAACTACATAAACTTAAAATATCGAAAAATATACAGCGCGCGAATTTTAAATGAGAACCTCCGAAAACCTTTCGGTCACAATGTACTTTTCGCTTTTTTAAAACTTAAACCATGTAAATATGTATTTAAAAACATAAATATTTGAAAAATTGTAAACAAAAATTCTAAATAAACCAAACCACAAATTTATTGACAAATTTTATCACTTTTAAAACATTTGGCAAAACAATAAAATATTTCCCAATACTCACATTAAATCCGCGTCCAATTTCCACATCCGCATCCAAAGGCAGCGAGAATAAACGTTTCGAAACAATAAAACTATTTGTCCAGGAGCAGTCGACGAAAACTGAAATAAAATCTCCATTTTGTATGCTGAAACGTGAAACAAAAGAAAATATTAAAAAATACATTTTTGCCAGAAGCTATAAAAAAGTATCTCAGCACACAATAAGTATCTCACCACGTTAACAAAATTAAAAAGAAAAAGGTTGAGGATTATTTATTAAATAAAAAGACAAAAGTGAGCATTTTTGTTGAAACTACTAATGGTATTTTATGACATTATAAAAAAAAAGAATATTATTTTTTAACCATTTATTATTTATATATCCAAGGTATTCAATTAATTTAATTCGAACTTGCATTAAAAGATCATGTCTGAAGCAACTCACGATATAGACACATACAAAAAGGATCTTTTCTTAGCAACATGTGACAAGTATAGTTCATTTGACAATGGCAATATGAACACATTTTATTTGACATTAAGAATTAATCTTAAGATTTAATCTCTTAACAAAAAAAACCAAATATTTTTCTAACTCCCACTGTCATATTTTGTAACCCAATCGAACATTTTAAGAATAATCTAAAATTTGTATACCTAGAAGTGTTAGTAGACAATTATATGATTCATGAATAGATATAGCGAATCAAGCACACTTTATTTGGCCAGTCATATAAAACAGCTGTTCCTTTCAGAGTAATCTTGCTAATCTGGTAAAATATCTAGAGTGTTTTAAATTAATCTCAACTGTTACATATTTGCCTCAAGATTTACCAATCGTGTATTTACTCTTTTCATTGGTTCAGAGCCCTTCTGCGTCGTAACAAATAGTTTCACAAATAACTTAATATGTGAACGGGAGAAATAAAATCTACTTGAACACTGGAAAGCCCAATCAGGCATTGGGTAATCAAGAAGATTCATTGATCGTGTACACCTCAGTAGTTGACGCAATGCTTAACTTTCGCAGAAATAATATTAAACTCTACACTGAACTTCTTACATGAAGAATTTAGGTGCAGTAGAAAGTGATTTCTATCGACTCTGTCATGAGGAGAAGGAAAGTATAGAATTTATTCTATGCAACTGCCCAGCGGCGGCAAGACTAGACTTGACTACCTTGGAAGCGGAATCTTAGTCTCAAATCAAATAGCAGTTACGAGATTTATTAATATTGGGTTGTTGAATTGTTTTAGTTGGGTCTTTAGTGGTATAACATTACTTTTAGGTCGGCGTGCATTCATAGCCTATTATTCAATAGCAATAATGCAGTGCCTTTAACGTGATCCTTATAGCAACTTATAATAAATCGATTTACATTCACTTTACCTCCTCTTATACATTTGTACCAACGTTTTATCATTAGGAACAGAATATTATAGTTTCTACTATATATGCAAATTACAAAGATATGTAGCTATATTCTAATTGAGTTGATTCAAATATTATTGAATTGAACGCTGATTTTTGATAAAAAGTAAAAATCACTCAATTTTCAATACTTTCCATATTGTTTAAGTTTTGAGTTTTAGATCTCATGAATTATGAGTATTATCTTTTCAACAGAGAACCTTACAAAACGAGGTTCATTTATTAAGCAACCGTTAATGTGCCGTTAATGAAACTACACTGAAGGAACGGATTTGAGAAGCTGCGGGTGTTACTGCACATTAAACTACCATAAGACGTGAATCAGATTAATTACTAGTTCATCGCGTTGTTATTGTTTTGCGAGTAAGTGAATCAGATCATTATTTGCTGAAACGCAGCTAATAAATGAATTACAAATGTGTCAAAACGAATCATTAAAAAAATTTCCGAATGCTTTATGGTACGTAGGGTGTACAGATATTCATAAGCAGAGGAATTAAAACTATAATAATATATAACTTAGTGTTCACAATGACTAAACTTTACCAAAATCTTTATATTTTAATTAAAAGATACTATATTTTAGAATTTTGTCAGCAAAGAAAAATTTGTATGTATTAGTCAAAACGTAAGGGTATATGCAGAAAACTTGCTAAAGTCTAGCCAGTGTAGACGTAGTGCGCGATACACAGGTTTATTTAACAAATATGTTATGAAATTCTTTTCTCATAAATCTGTAAAATTAAACCAACCTGTTAATAGATGCAAACATATGGATATATAATAAATCAGTAAAATAATATTGAGGTACACGTATGATAGCTAAGAAAAAAAGAAATCTAAAGTATCCAATAAAATTCAGAAGATCCATTATCATTAACAGAACAAAAAGAGCTATAAGAAACTAGGTATATCCCTGAAACAATATGAACAGTAAATATGTTAGTAAAAGTTATAGAATAAATAACAGTAGAACTGCTATTACTAAATTTGTTTTTATTATTCCAAAGTTTTATATATGATTATATCTATACAATCACACTTATTTATGAAATTTATTACTTAAATTAACTTGTAATAAATTTTAATTTTAAATCCCTAGTCCCTAGTCCCTAACCTTACTGTCTCCAATATCAAAGCAGTGTCATCCCATACCACAAATAGGAAACACTAACAGCAAAACAATTTAATTTAAAAATATTAAAATTCCAAAATACAGCAATTTTTGTCTATGCTACTCACCTGATGGCTACTTGATGCCAGCGATAATCGTATAAATTGAATTTCACAGGTAGCATTTCGGTGGTGTTATCACGTTCCAAATATAGACGCAAACCGTCCTTGCACGACTCCAAGTATAAATTGTGTGTTGTGTTGCGTATGGAAAAAATTGTTGCTGTGGTCTTGCTGTCGTTCTGTGAGAAAAAAATAAATTTAAATAAAAAATAAATTTGCATACACAAAAATACATAACAAAAAGCGCTTTGAAACCTTCCTCAAACAAAAGAATTATGCTTGTAATATACAAAAATGACAGGATATATTTTAATTTTTTGCAGAAGCAATCAGTTTGGATTTTTATTGTACGCAGAATTAATGCTTGATTTTTGTTTCCGTTGAGGAAAACAATTTTAATTTTTTTTATGAAACTTTTTCTATATTTTTTATATATTTTTTATGTACTTTTATTTCTGTTAATGGAAAATATTTTAATTGGTTTTCATTGTCAGCCGCTTTTATTACTGTTGAGATTCTCGACAGAGCCGCCTGATATTTTCGGGACGCAGCCTTGCTCGGGCTCTACTTATTTATGTAAATTAAAACTGTTTTAACAGCTTTCGTTGTAA